TCACCTGATTCTAAGAGTGGCGTTGCTGACCTTGGAGGGACGGGAGCTTCGTCTGTTGCAGAAATGATAGCTGAAACAAACAAGGTCTTGAGGGCCTTAGTAACTCCTCCGGCTGAACCTGCTCCAGCAGCAGGTCCTTCTACGGTTTCATCAGTGGCAAGTTCAGATCCTTTGGTTACCATTCAGCGGCAGATTGATGAGACTAGAAGGCTGCGGGCTTTGAGGTTGGATGAGGTTGTTCCGATGGACTCAGCTTTGATGCAGCGTGTGCAAGCACATGAGCAGATGGATCAAGCTAGGTTCGCGCTCTTGGATAGTGGTGCAAGTCATGCTCTTAGAGCGGCTCAGTCCAATGAGGAGTATGAAGGTTCCAAGAGGGTCAGGGTTCCTTTGGCGACCAGGGCACCACTATGGCGCAAAACCCTGGTGGTACACTTCTTGGATCACCGAGCTCATCTTGCGGAGCTATACTCCCGCTGGGTCAACTTGTTAGGCTTTTGGGACGCAGTATCAAGTGGTCAAAGCATAAGCTCGAAATCATACATCCAATTCATGGCAAGCTGGTAACCCGAGTTAGAGCTGATTGCCTTGATCTCTGAAGCCAAAGCTCTCGAGCTGATTCATGAATTGGAAATGAAGCGTTTGAGCTCCTTCAGTTCGTTGGTGGATCAGGCGAATGAACAGCTGTGCACTCTTCAAAGCCGTGGCCTCGAAGGTTTCCATTGGGAAGACCATCTCACTCAGGTAGTAAAAACCGGAGAGCGTGCTCATATGTGTGGTTTGGTGCACAAGATTCCGTACTTTGCAGCAGTGCCTCCTGAGTTCTACATTGATATCCCGGAATCCTTCCCCGTCAACGATAAGGATGGATGGCAGCTTTTAACAATCATTTCCATGGTCCAGGAGAAAGCGGTGAACCATGTTCAAGTCGAGCGATTGGGTTGTGCATTTGTTCTCGGGTGAAAGGCATACGGGAGTGCAGCACAGGCTTCGTGATTCTGTTTGGAACGCAAGCTTGGTGGAGGATGATGTTCTTGTTGAGATTGACATTACTCAGGCCAAGTCTTTCGACCTCACACGGCAGAAAGGGGTTGCCGAGGAGTCTGCTGCTGATGAACCAGGGGATCTCTTATTGGAAGGGAATGATGCAGGGGTGGCTGTGTTAGCAGTGACTGGTTTACGAGGACACTCTTTAGCTCGATGCAGTGTCGATCCACAAGTCAAACACCTTTCAGCCTTGATCAGACCATCCCAAGAATGTCCATACTTACAATCCTTGCCTTCGACAACCATCTTGGCTTCGGAACCACTTGCAAGGCTTCGAGTCTGGAGCTGCTGCAGGAGGCGAACCTGCCTTCGCCTTCGCAGCTGGCTGGCCATTACCATCCATTTCCTTCAACTTTGGCGTGTCCGGATTAGGTGTTGAACGTGTAGTATTGGACCTCCGAGTCTCAAAATTCAGCTGTTCCATCTCTGCCAGAAGATGCTGATAAAGCTTGATGACTGACTCTGGCGAAGGCCGAACATCAACTTGCAAGTCATTACGTGCCACACTGATCCTGAACTGGAGGTCCGGACTTGCAGCAGCTAGCTTCTTGGTTACACACAAGAGCGACTTAGCCTGAACCGAAGGGTCAGGGACTGAAATCGAGAGATCCGCAGCCCTTTGTACGGTTCTGCACCATTTCCTCAACACCTGCGCCGCATGGGCCGGAGTGTGAGAGCTCTCATGTATGTCAAGCTGCCTGATGACCACCGCCTTGTCCTGCGCAGACCCTGGCTGATACAGAGTAAGAAGACGAAATAGTTGCTGATGTACTCCTCGAGCCCTATTTGCAACTAGGTCTCCCTTGACTGCCACAGGGAGGGCTGCAAGAATCATAGTTGAGACACGCCGTTCTAACTTGGAATAGCGCTGATCCATAAGCTCATAAGCTCATCTGGGAGGACAGCCTTCACACTGAGCCTCTCAATGGGAGATTTAGACATGTACTCCTTGTACGCTGCCTCAGCTGCCTTCAAGGTGCCACTCCACCACGTAGCAGCATCAGAAGCCAAAGCCCCAATCATTTTGCCCAGACACAAACAGCCAATCCTGAAGATCTGAAGCACCTGCTCCTCTTGGTACTCCGGCAAGACTGGAAGATCTACAGTACTCTTCTCCAAGTCCCCAACAGAACCACGCTGCCTTTCCAACAGGAGCTGCTGAATCTGACCCATACCCGACAACACAATTTCGATTGGAGATGGATTAGAAGATGTTGCTGCCCCCTTTGTACCTGGCACGAACTGCTCCGGAGGTTCACTTTGCTGACGCCCAGGTGGAGGAGGAGGTTGTGGACATGCTGAGGATCCCTTTGGCGAAGTAGCTGAATATCCTACATCTGGTCTTTGAGGGGAACCGCTACCAAACATACGACCAATGAAACCTCGCTGCTGATGACGAGCACCAGAAGTATGATCACTAGGAGGCTGAGGAACTGAATCTATCACCTCACGTTCTTGAGCACGCATCGGAAGGTTGGGAGGAACTACAGCACCACTTGTAGTGCCTGAACTCATCGTGGGAGCCCGACCACCATGAGATACTGCGTCTCCTAAATACCCACCCCCATGCGTCATCCCACTATCTGCACCATAAACACCCGCGTAAGCCCGATCACCAAGAGACACACCATGAATTGCTGGCTGAGCTGAAGGCCCATTACCTTGCCCATGTCCCTGACCTCCTGACAATCCAACCCCTTGCAGAACCACTCCTGCAGAGGATGACTGCATTGATTGAACATGCACATGACTTCGGCCTCGTCCTTCATGAATCCGGCTCCGGGCTCCGTCCTCATGAGGGAGCTCTCTGCCCAATCCATCCTGAACCATGAGCCGGTCACGATTTCCAGCTGCGATGCCACCCTTGCGGAGCCTTTCATTCTCTAAGCGAAGCTCACTAATCTGAGCCTGTTGAACTCGATCTCATTGCTTCCGCCACTTGTCGACGCACTTCCTCCTGAACCAGCTCACGTGGGATTGATCCACTACTGTCATCATCATCCTGTCCCACTGCAGATCCATGTAGAAGGGGTGCCTGGCGAGACCATGCCTCCATGCGATGCCTGGCCTCTGGACTGCTGTAGCTGAGGCTGTTGCTGCTTGTCCACTGAATTGATTAGTGGGTGAGCTGGTGGACTGCTGAAGGTGAAGCTGCCGCTGTTGCCGCAGTACACTACTTCCCCCTACACCCCCACCTAAACTAACACCACTAGTCCAACGAGGTAACCCATTGGACGATGCCGCCTGAGAAGGTCCGTGCAATCCCGAATCGGCCAAATCCGGTGTAACAAAGCTTGATTGTCCCACAGGTAAGTACAAGTTTTCCTGCACCCTCATATCGCCGCTCGATCTCTCAATTCCAACTTGCTGTGCTCGCTGGGGAGACCAAGGAGCAGAAATGAATCCTGAAGGACTATCCTGAAGCGAAGAATTTCCCGAATGCTGAGGCCTATCCGCACTTGCCGCTAGAATTTCACCATATGCAGGTCCTGAAGATTCGCCTTCCATATGAACCCCAGTCACAGAACCGCCATAAGCTTGGGCAGTCACAACCTGTTGATCCTGAGGACCAGGAAGCGGAGTCGCAGGGCCATCCATGATCGAGGTATCTACTACACTTATTTAGAACTCCTGAAAGAGATAACTTCTAACAAAAACCAATCTAACCCTAAGGATCGAGGAACAGTACCCCAACCCTGAGTCCGGGGCCTGACCTTTTGCATCTTGAGCCATGCACATCGATTTGTGCGTGTCTTCCTTGCAGGAAGGGCAATGCGAAGCTTTGCTTACATATGCGGAGCATCCTCCAGATGCCGCCGAGCTCCTGAAAGCCGCACCACACATGAAGTGCAGATACAGTTTCTTAGGAGGATCAAGAGACTATACAGGGTAAATTCTAACTACTTCAAAGGCGGGGGATGATATATTCTTCATCATCAACAGGTTTATAGGCTTCATTTGAGCCATTGCCTAAATTCCTAGTATCCCCCTTGAAAACCCTTTTGTGGTCCCCTATGTAATCCCTCTATACCCCCCCCTTTAAGGAGTTTAGACCCTAAACCCTAAACCCTACATAATCCCCTACTTATATAACCCTCGGTAAGGAGCTTGGACTATAGTTTACGTAGTGTTCACCAGGCCCTAAACCCTAAGCCCCTAAACCCTAAACTACGTTCATAGGGGGCAGTGAGTTCAGTCTGTTTAGGGTTTAAGGCCGCTTGGCACTGAAGGATCAGGAAACTGTTTTTGGGATTCAGATCTAAGGTTTAGGATTTAGGGTTTTGTATTTAGGGCTTAGGATTTAGGATTTAGGGTTCAGGATTCAGGTTTTAGGGTTTAGGATTTAGGGTTTAGGGTTTTAGGGCCTGGGGTTTGGAGTTTGATTCTATACGGAAACTTCCGGGGCTAGAGGAGCTTCACTGCTGTCATACGCCTATGGCTTCTCAAAGCTTACGGTGTAAGAGAGGATGGTATCCGTGTAGAGGGATATCGGGATCTCCCAATAGTAGCGGTACCTCTTGCGTAGTCCCTATCATAAGGTTTATAGCCTTTGAGGGTCCATAATGGGTCAACATATTTTGGGAAACTACCACGTAAGGGCTCAACATATGTGCATACTCTACCGATGGGGATACTCTGGGGCTTCGACTAGCCCAAAATACGTAATT